TATGTATAGGAGAGATCTTTTAACCTCCAACCCCCGCTGCCCAACAATATTCATACACTTCTACACACTTTAGACACAAGAGTGAGTTTCCTGACATCAAAGCAGTTCCCATCCTTTTTTAATTAAGAATGCTTTGTTGTTGGTCCAGATTCACATCTAACCTTCTGGCTTTTTCTAGAGAGACACAACTGAGGAAGGGCCGCTGCCCCTTAATGATGGACGGAGACCAGATGGAGCAGAGACCCAGCGGCAGAGAGAGCAAAGAAGGCTCTGTGAGTCTCTGCCAAACAAGGGCAGACATTACCGAAAACAAGACAGAAGCTCAAGACAAAATGAAGCCTCAAATCAATTTGAGATATCAATTAAATAAGAAATGGCTTAAGGCTTCAGTAGACAGCCTCAAAATCAGAACATCTAAGGAACCCGGGCAAAATATACTGAGGTGGCTTCAGCAATCGCTGAAAATCCTGAAAGAGGATTCCTCTGAACTGTACACCCTGCCCGAATGGCTTAAAGCATCCACCACCAGCCTCCCGAAGGAATGTGCTGAGGCATCCAGGGGGGATGTGAATGGTTGGCTAGAAACATCGATAAATCATCTCCAAGAAGAAGGGCCAGAAACCTGTGATTTAGATGTGCAGGGATGGCTTGAAGCATCTATTACAGGCATTCAACATCTACAAAAATCCAAGTCGAGCCAGAAAAAAGGGATGGCTGGAAAAATCAATAGAGAACCTCAAGAAGCAATGTCCTGAAGGATCTCTGGTGAATAGATTAGAATGGCTTCAAGGATCCTTAGAAAGCCTGTCACTTTCTGGAGAACCTAGACCAGTTCTTGAAAAATGGCTTCGACAATCCTTAAAAAACCTGCAAGATGAAGGTCCTAAAGTATCTAAACAAGATGCCAAAAAATGACTTGAAATATCTATAAAGAATCTTGAGGAGGAAGGACACCTAGGTACTCGGGAATGGCTTGAAGCCTCTATTAAAGGCGTTCAGGATCTACAGAAGTCCACGGTAGAGATTAAAAGAACTCTGAGGAAGAGATGGTTTGAAAAATCAATAGCAAACCTCAAGAAGCAATGTTCCGAAGGACCCGTGGAAAATATATTACAGTGGCTTCAAGGATCCTTAGAAAGGTTTTCATTTTCTGAAGAACCCATACCGCATCTGGAAAAATGGCTTCAACGATCCCTGAAAAACTTGGAAAAGGTCCTGAAACATACAAACAAGATGCCAAAAATGGCTTGAAATATCTGTAAATAGCTTCAAAGACCTGAAGCATCCCATCTAGGTACTCAGGAATGTCCTGAAGCATCTATTAAGGGCATCCAGGATCTCAAATACTCTAAGGAATCAAAAACAAGCATGCTAAAGAGGAAGGAGAGAGTGATTTGGGTAGAACCTGCTTGCTCTGAAAGAAACTTATGGGTAGATGGATGGCTTCAAACATCTTTAGCAAGTTCCAGAAAGCATGGTTCTACTGCATCCAAAACGGATATGCCAGCATGGCTACAACCATATCTGAAAAACCTCAGACGAGAATCCCCAGAAGAAGCCAGAAAGAATGGCTGTAGGAATCCATAGAAAATGTCCTGAAGAAATCGTGCAATATGTGAATGAGTAGCTTGAGATAGTCTTAAATCACCTCCATGGGGAAGGGCCTGAAACCTCCCATCCCATCCCATCTTGGAACAGACTTGTCTCTCATTTCTGCTGCTTCTAGTGTTACTGGAATCAAGATGACTTGGCAGGGAAAAAAATACCAATTGGACTCACATGATAAAGCAACAGATTTTTATGATAATCTTTTCAACACAGAAGAGGAACAGGAAATAAGAGGTGAAATAACACATAAGGGACAAGAACTATTAATGGCAGAAGGAAAATATCCTCAGCAAGATCAGAGTGAAAAGGGGGGGAAAAAAGGTTCAGAACGAGAAGGAGCAATAGTAAAAGCACCCAGAGAAGTAAGAGCAACCAGGACTATAAGACCTAGATATAAGTAAAATGATGCAAGAAGAAGTAAAGATGCTTTTAGTAAAGATGCTATAAGTCAATATTAATGGGCTGAACTCTCCCACAAAAAGGAAGAAAATATTTTCAAAACTACAAACATTAATACTGGGCATAATAGCACTTCAAGAAGTACATATTAAGAAAAACAACTATAAAGTGTTGGAATATTCTAAACTGGGAAATCTATTTTACTCACTAGCACAACAGAAAAAAAAGAGGGGTGGTATTTTATGTTAGAGAGACAATAAATGCCAAACAGGTTTTTCAAGATGAAGAAGGGAGAATTCTGATGTTGGAGGTGATTTTAAATCAAAAATGGATTCTCCTGGTTGCTATCTACACACCAAACTCAGGACAAGAGAAATTCTACAAAAAAAAACCTTCATAAAAAGATATTTTGAAGCAGAATACGAAGCATTTGTATTATGGTATATCTCAATATAATAGTCAACAGAAATCTGGACTATAAAAGTAGTAAAACAAATAAGAATACAAGAAGGATCCTACCTAGAGCCCTTACTAAAATGATAGAACTGTCGATACAAGATACTTGGAGAGAAATGAACCCAGAGAAGAAACAGTATACATTTTATTCTAAGGTACACCAATCTTGGTCTAGAATAAACATGGTTTGGATGACCTTGGAATTGAGTGGGAATGTGCAAGAGATTGAAATAGAAACAAATTTATGGGCTGACCACAATCTAATCAAAATCAGTTGGAAGGGACAAAAGAGGAAAGTAAGATGGACTTTAAACCAATCTATTACAAAAGACAAAGAATTCATACAGATGATGGAAAGAGAAATGGGGTTCTTTTTCAAAGAGAATAGAAAAGAAGAGACCTCACTACAGAACGTGTGGGATACTGGAAAAGCAGTGATCAGAGGACTAGCTATAACTTATATAGCGAAGAAAAATAAGAAAAAGAAACAGGATCAAAAGGCTTTGGAAGAAAAATATAAAGGACTTGAATTACAAAAGGAACCACACAACATAGGCTTAAAAAATCAAATGGTGCTGATTAAACATAAACTAAATATTATGGAAAAAGATGAATTGGCACAACAAATAAAAAGAGCAAAGCAAAACTTTTTTGAAAACGCTAATAAACCAGGAAGGTGGCTAGCCTATAGACTGAAGAACGAAAAAGAAAAGAAATGGATAATAAAATTACAGGATGAGGAAGTTACACTACATTGCCAAACAGAAAAGATATTTGATTTCTACAAGACGCTATACGACCATGAAAAAATACCAGAGGAAAAAACAATACAATTATTTAGAAAAAGCTAATTTACCAAAAATTCCAGAAACTGTGAAGAACATGCTAAATGAAAGAATATCAATGGCAGAACTTAAGGAAGCAAATAAAAGACAAAAAACAATAAAACTCCAGGACCAGATGGCCTACCAATAGAAATTTATAAAGAGTTACAAGACTGTTTGAGTTTGTCAATGTTAGAGATCTATAATGAAGTCCTACTGTAAGATAAAATACCGGAGACGTGGACAGAGGCTTATATCACTCTGATCCCAAAAGAAGAATCGGATATAACACAAATAAAAAATTATTGACCAATTTCGTTATTAAATGCAGATTATAAAATTTTTGCATCAATAATTGCTGAAAGACTTAAAAGATTTTTAATTGATTTTATTCATCCTGATCAAAATGGATTTTTACCCAAGAGGCAAATTAGGAATAATGTGAGAATAATTTTGGACACACTAGAGTATTATGAAGCACATAATGAAAAACAATTAGCGCTAATCTTGGATGCTCAGAAAGCGTTTGATAACATAAATTGGCAATTTATGTTGCAACAATTAAATTGTATGGATTTTGGTGGAAAATTCATGAACGTGATAAAGGCAATTTATACCCAACAAAAAGCTAAAGTGACTGTGAATGGAGATGTAACAGAAAGCTTTAACATAAAAAAAGGAACAAGACAAGGCTGTCCACTATCTCCATTACTATTCATCCTAATGCTAGAAGTCTTAACTAGAAACATTAGATTAGACCCAGAAATAAAAGGAATGGAAGTTAAAAAGGAAAAATATAAATTACAAGCATTTGCCAACGACTTAGTATTGATATTAGAAGAACCGCTTGAAACTGGCCCCAAATTGATAAGGAGAATTGATGAATATGGAGAGGTGGCAGGGATGAAAATAAACGAAGGGAAAACCAAAGTATTAGTTAAGAACATAACAGATAAACAAAAAGAGGAACTGACAGAGAAAATTGGCCTACAGATAGTAAAAAAGGTTAAATAGCTCAGTATCTACCTAACAGCAAGGTGTGTGACAATCAAGGATGACAATTATACAAAATTAACACAAATTAAATTGGACTTAGAAAGGTGAAAGAATTTACAACTAAATATGACAGGGAGAATAGCCGCTGTTAAAATGAACAAGTACTTTTCCTATTCCAAACAATACCGATAAAATTAGAAAAGAAATTTTTCGATGAATTAAATAGAATGATTTTGAAATATATTTGGCAAGTCAAAAAAACGAGGATCAAATTGAAAATGTTACAGGAATTCAGATGTAATGGGGGCTTTGGACTTCTGGATTGGGAATTATATTACCAGGCGTCAGCCCTGACATAGTTAAAAGAATGGGTAAATTTGAAAAATAGAAAGCTACTATTAATAGAGGGACATGATTTGCAATTAGGTTGGCATGCCTTCCTTTGGTATGGTAGAAGTATGGCACATAAATATTTTCAGAGGCATTATGTTAGAAATGTGTGGGGTAGTTTGAGACAAGTCCAGAAGGTGTGACGGGAGAATGGTTTTGCTGGTACCATACAGTGTACAGTTTTTGGTTATCATGTTATTGGTTTTTATATTTTGTTATGCACTGACCCGCCCAGTGATGTTGCATATAAGATGGGTGTCCACATCAGTCTCTTAAATAAAAAGGTGTCACTACTACGTGATCTCCTGTCCAACAACAAAATCAAGCTTATCCCAATTAATGAGGTATTTATTCCCAGCGGATTGGGAAGGGGAAGGGGAATAAATCTCTTTGAATGAAACAGTTTGAGTTCCAATCCGCTGACCAGAAGATGATGAATGAAGGCAGTTGGGAACTCCTGGGACCTCACTGCATTCAGGCAACCCAACCCAGATGTGACCTGAGTTAGATCCTCCAGGGAGATTGCCCCCAACAGTGTGGCTGTTGGGAGGGACTATACAGATTCCCTCTTGACTTGGAACGACTACCTCCATTGCGGGCTCTTCACCTGGAAGCAAAGAAAATAGGAGTTAGAGAACAACACACAATAAGGACTGAATTCTCACTTTGTTGGCATTTTGCCAGCTATGAACAAGCTGGAAGAACAGAATTATCAGGGAAAAGCAAAGGAATGATTACCTAGGAGAGACCTTTTTGTTGTATTCTTAGAAAAGACTATGGAGGCATTTAAAGAAATAATAATTGATAAACTATTAAAACCTGTTCGAATTTTTTCACCTTCAACTCCTTGTCCTCTTCCTGGCTCAGGAAGAAGTCTTCTGCTAGCGACACCATGTGGAAACAGATCTCTACTCCACATTCTCAAATTCAGCTCTGCATCTCTAGGGATAGGATGGCCAGAAACTGCTACAGGACTATCCGGTCCAGCATCTGAGTTTCTGGGCGTTTTTTTCTGGGTTGTCACTGATGTCAATGATGGTAGAGGTAGCTGCTACATTCCCAGGGCCCCTTTTGCCAGCCCAACTCTCTGAAGTGGTGATGTTATAGACCAAAATATGTGGCTCCTTCCCTCTGGTTGTTGGGTCTTGATGCTTGACTAGAATTTCCCACAAGGTCCAACCAGAATGATTGGCTTTTTTTCTCACCACTGGTGTACTACACTTTTTCATGGTGCTGAAAAGCTGCCCCAAGAAATCTCTTTGGATCTGCAAAGGGGAAAGTTCTTTCTTAAGATCAGTTGTACGATCAGGAATTCCCTTGACCTATTTGAGTTCTTATCCCCATGCAGGTAGGTAGAAAATGGATCCTACTGATCTTGGATCTTTTTAGAAAAAGATTAAATGTTGTTTTGAGAGTTGGAATCAGTTGGATGCAGCTGCTCCTCTTCCTGTATAAGGTAACTGGCATCCTGCCAAACACATTTCTTGCTATACTGAAAGTTAATTTGACTTTCCTTTGAAAAAAGGGGAATTTTCCAGATTTATCCTGATCTGAAAATGCCTGGCATAATCACCAACACATTTGCGCCCCTGCCCATCTGCTCTGTGCATAGGATTAATCACCATTGTTTTGGGGTAACACTAGCTTTTCTTCCAGGGTCTCTGGTGGAGAAGGGGTGTCCCAATGCCTGAGATCTGGTCCCAACTGGCTGGCTCTTTAGGACCAAGAAAGCATCCCTCTTGGAGGTCTGAATTGTGGTCCCCAAGGGGATGGAGAGAATCTGCCCAATGCTTCCTTGGAACCAGGCAGAAATGGACCTTTCTAGGGCCTTTTGGTTAGAATCAGTTTTCAAACTACTGAGTGCAACAAGATCCATCCAGGATGTGCCTTTGACTGGATTGACTCAGCCATCTCACCTTTCAGCTGATAGGCCATCAGGAGTCCAGACAGACCCAAACACACTTGATATCTTTGAATCCCATTCACTCTCATGAGGGATCCCTCAACCTCTCACTCCTAGCTTCCACCAGGGAGCTCCTAGCAACGTTGCCAGCAGCTTCTTTCCTGCAGAGAAATCATCCAGGCCACCGATTGTCCAGGGGAGAGGACCATGGCACTCCCACCCTTGCTTGGCATGCTGAGAAGACATCCTAAAGACAGGACTTCTTCCTGGGGTTCATGAGGAGCGCGCAATCTTTCCCAGCATCACTGGATCAAGTGGAAAAAAAGCCTCAAAGGAAAGAAATTCCTGCACTGGCTGAGATTGTGGCTAGGAGGGGAGAGCAAACCCTGCCTGGAGTGCGGCCTCCTTGCAAAGACCCCCACTCACTCCAAGTAGCCCACCCCCCCCTTGTAGCCTGCCAACTGGAGGAATCCCCTTCTTCGGGATGCTGCACAACAGCTCATCCGGCATTTCAGGGAAGCAGTTGTTCCTCCCAGCCCTTCCTTTCTTGCAGGATCTCCTGCAGCCTCTTGGTGCTGGAGGTGAAGAGTCGGGGAAGGGGGGTGGGGGGGACACAAAGGGACCTGGTGCCTTTTCATTAGGCTGGGGAGCTAGAAAACCAGAGGTGGGCAAAAGACAGGGGCGCATGCTCAGTTCCCTTCTGAAACACAAAGGCTGCCAGGATTCCGCAGACCGCAGAGGGAGCCACCTGGTGGTCCCTGCCTGCCACAGCAGCCTATCATGCAAGCCGGAGGAGAGACGCAGGAAGCTTTGCTGCCCCCGCTCCACAGGAATTAGTACGGGCAACATTCTCTTGCGCATGCTCTGTTAGTCCTCTGAAGCTGCCGAGGTGATCGGCTTCTCCTGGGCGTTCTGCATGTGATACAAGGAGACTTCCCCTTGGCTGGGATGGGTGGGGGTCTCTGTGCGACGGTTGTGCGATGCAAATCTCAACCCTTGAAGGGAAGTGTGGCAGGAGGACCTGACCCTTCCTCTCCCTGCTTTGAACTCCTCGGACATGTGGAGCGCCGCCTGGACTTTGCGCACAGGAATTGCAGTGACTTTCAGCCGGTCCTGGAGGCTGGGGCCGGAATCAAAGGGTCTTTCTGGGTTTTCTCTTTGACAATGTGGGGAGGGGACGAGAGTCTCTTGGTGCGCAAGTCCCCACCGAGGTGTGAAAAGATGCCCCTCCCCTTGAGAAAGGAGCAGCTGGTAGACTGATCCTGGGGTGTGGGGGGTGTTATTAGGGATTTCTGGATTCTGGATTCTGTAGTCTAGTATATCTATTGGAGGTTGGCGCTCCCATGTAACACCGCTCCTGCGCGAGCTGCACTGGCTCCCAGTGGTCTTCCGGGTGCGCTTCAAGGTGTTGGTTATCACCTTTAAAGCGCTCCATGGCATAGGGCCTAGCTATCTCCGAGACCGCCTGCTGCCACCGACGACCTCCCATCGACCCGTGCGCTCCCACAGAGAGGGCCTCCTCGGGGTGCCATCAGCCAAACAATGCAGGCTGGTGACCCCCAGGGGGAGGGCCTTCTCTGTGGGGGCTCCCACCCTCTGGAATCAGTTGCCCCCTGAGATAAGGAGAATCCATGACCTCAGTGCCTTCCGCCGTGCCCTTAAAACCTTCCTTTTCCAACAAGCCGGGCTGGCCTAATTCTTTTTACATGTTTTTTAATTGTTTGGTTTATTGTTTTAATTAATGGGGCCAAATTTATATATATATTTTTAATGTATTTTAATATTTGTATTTGATGTTTTTATTTGGCTGTTCACCGCCCTGAGTCCTCAGGGAGAAGGGCGGTATACAAATTCAAAAATAAATAAATAAATAAATAAATAAATTCTAGGGTAACTCCAGTGTTCTCCTCCCCTTCTCTCTCTCTCTCTCTCTCTCTCTCTCTCTCTCTCTCTCTCTCTCTCACACACACACACACACACACACACACACACACACACACAGAACCACAAATTGTACAGTAGAATTTTAGTGACTAACAAATCTAGCTGGGGTGCATAGTGATGTCCCTCTTCCACATCTGCAGGAGCCCCAAAGTTTCTGTTCCTAGCCAGTACCCCAGTGGGAAGAAGATGAATGTTATTACAGGTAGTCCTCGACTTGTAACAGTTTGTTTAGTGACCCTGTAGAAAGTTAGTACCCACTTCTTCCAACAACCGCATTCAAAGTTACAACAGCAATGAAAAAAGTTATTTATGACCATTTTTTACACTTATGACCATTGCAGCAGCCACATAGTCATGTGATTTACATTCAGATGCTTGACAACTGGCTTATATTTATGATGGTTGCAGTGTCCCGGGATCACATGATCACCCTTTGCAACCTGCCGACAAGCAAAGTCAATGAGGAAGCCCGATTCACTTAACAACCATGTTTTTAACTTAACAACTGCAGTGATTCATTTAACAAATGTGGCAAGAAAGGTCAATTAAGAAATGTTTCACTTAGCAACAGAAATTTTGGGCTCAGTTGTGGTCGTAAGTCGAGGACTGCCTGTATTTACAGATGTCCACACTTTTTTAAAAATGACTTTCAAAAATACTTTTAAAAAGAAATCAAGAATGATTGTTATTATTAACATATTTTATGATTATCTACATGCTCATCACACCCCACACTTATCTTTGGAAGTTCTCTGACCTCATGTTGGGGAAGGAGGGCAGGCCACAGGTCCCTGGGCTATGCAGAGGCTATTCAAATGTAGCTACATTTTGTGGGTGGGGACACAAGATTGGCCTACCTTGGAAAACAGGCTGGTTGCAAAATATCAATTTCTGACACAGAATTCACTCTCATGTCCCATCAGCTGCAGCAAAAGATTCTTGTTTGAGGGATACATTCTCATGCCATCACCTCACCTCCATCTCATTTCACTCTTAGAAACTAAGCAGTCAGTTTTAGTCTCTCTTCACCAATATGGCAGCCATCTGAATTAAAGAAAAAATATACAAATAAACAAAGAAGTGCTCCTTTAAAGCTAACAGTCCTAATTTGTAAGGAATTTTTTCCTTGTTATACTAACTGCAAGATTGTTTTGGACCATTTTCAAAGGGGGGGACTTTGGAATGCTTTATGTAGTCCAAAAGAAACGACTGGAGATCCTACTGCTCAGAAGTTTCTTCATCACAGTTTTATAGTAATTTAATAAACATAATAGAATAAAAATGTAATGAACATTTTAGAACAAATTTTATGATAAAATTTAGCATGAATAGTTTATCATCCTTAAAAATCATGTATATATGAAGAATGGAGGAATTAATAGATAGGTAGATAGGTAAATAGCTAGATAGACAGAATTCGTTATTGGCCAAGTGTGATTGGACACACATGGAATTTGTCTTTGGTGCATATTCTCTCAGTGTACATAAAAAGAAAAGATACATTTGTTAAGATCATAAGGTACAACACTTAATGATAGTCATAGGGTACAAATAAGCAATCAAATCATACTAGGAAACAATATAAATCATAAGGATACAGCAACAAGTTACAGTCATACAGTCATAAGTGGGGAGATGGGTGATAGGAACAATGAGTAGATAATATTAATACAGCCATCATCATCATCTTCCTAGCATTATTCCTGCAGATGCAGGTTCCTTACAGAGTTTTAGAACAGATTACAAATAAATTGAACAGAGAAACTAAGAGATTATATATGAAGTTCTTGAAAAAAAACAGAGTGATTATCAGAATGGATTTGTCAAGAAGACAGTTGCAGGGCTAATCTCCCAGGTACACAAGATAGGAAACATGACCATATGAGCTAATTATTGGAAAAATGCATCAAGAGTTACTTACAAGTCTGAAAGTACAAATATCTCACAAACTCTTTTTAATGCCTGAAAAGTCATGGAAGATCTTTTCTGATTTTTTCTTCCAGTTAGGCAGCTGTGGGCTCCCCCACCTTATCTGTTGTGCATCTCCTCCCGTCTCCCAAGATCACTTACTGATTATTTATTTGTATCCCATCTTTATTATTTTTACAAATATCTCAAGGCAGTGAAGATATACAATACACTTCCTCCTCCTATTTTCTCCACAACAACCCTGTGATGTGGATTGGGCTGAGACAGGATGATTGGCCCAAAGTTACCCAGACAGATTTGATTGCTAAGGCAGGACTCACAATCTCCTGCTTTCTAGCATGGTGCCACATCATATTTGCACATATCACTACACTTCCTTTCTAGATTGTGGGAATGCTGGTGGTATAACTTGATTTCACTAAGTATTAACAAAGTACTTCCTAATAATTAACCTAATTAATTAATAGATAAAATATGATTTTGTGATGCAACATTTATACCATCTTTTTGACAAAGCTATTTTGATGTAATTTTAAAAATAACCATATTCCATAACAATATTTATTATTTCCTAATATTTTTAGCAACTAGGACATAACAAACTATTGCATCTTTTATAAGAAAAAACGGATGGCAGCTACAATGTAGATCTTTCATTAAGATTTCATTTGTATTTTTTCTTATATTATTTCTTAGTGTATAATTTAGACTTAGACATAAACTTCAAAACACATCTTGATGGTTTACTAAAATGTGCTGGGGAAAAAAAACCAGTATGGAATTTACAGACAGGCAAGTAGAAAGTTATTCACTGAGAAGTGTCAAACTCACGTCATGGGGGCATCATGTGATGTATTGGGACTTTTTTCCCCTTCACTAAATCAGGCGTGGGCGTGGCCAGCATGTGACACATCTGGCCCACGGACCAGGATTTGACAGCCCTGACTTAGAAGAAGGAAAATGAAATGCAAGGAAAGAAGGATGGGGGATGATAAGAATATTTGTGAAAATGATTTCAAAATTGTCATTGATTGCAAACCAATTTGCTAATACTTGAACAAGAATGATACTGAATAGGGAATATGTATAGCTGTAGGAATTTTGATTTTACATTTCAGACCCATGTTTTAATACTGGGTTTCCTTTTGTAGTTTTCATTAGTTGTATCCAATTTCAAATCATAACACTAGGCGGATCTGTGCCTCTATGTATTTGTGGATGATCCTTAGTTTGGCCTCAACAGGTGGAGGCATGCTTTCCCAAAATACCATTAGACTTCCTTTTATGCTGCTCTTGTATCTTCTTTGGTTTCAGCTATAGTACCAGCTGCCTAGTCTATTTTTAGAAGTGTGCAAGAGTACTATGGAGTGGAAAATTTTCCACTGTGCCTCTCTAAGTTGTAATAAATCTGACTGATGTAAAATGATAGCATGTTTCCTTACATATTACCCTTATCTCCGTCACTATTAGTACCCTCTGGTACATGTATTTCAGTTTTCCTGGCTGTGAGTCACTTGTATGTAATCCTGTAACAGTTCATTAAAACAAATTTAAAATGAGAGGCCATTTGGTTCTCTTCCTTACCATCTCAGTTTATTTCCAGCAGGTAAAAGCTTTAATGTGTTTTATTACAGTATTTTATTTTTTATATTTTTAAAAAAATGTTTGCAAAAAGAAATTGCTTTGTTTTTCCTTGGTATGTGTTCCATGATCTTTTTTTTCTTAATTCTTATGCCTCGGTTTCATGCTTTAATTTAAAAAAATCTAAAATATTAATGAAAGGAGTTCTATGGCTACCTCATGGAGAGGCTTTAAAGAGAGAAATTGGAAATAAAATTATGGTGATTTTAGGTATGTTGAATTAAATTTAAAACTGCTTCTAGTGAAGATGTTAAAACCAAGAATACGAATTATAGCTGGATGTGGAATATTTAATAATTTAAATGCTACTTTACAAATCTGATTTAAACTAAAAAAACAGTAAGTAGGAATCTAGAATCTATATGATTTCAGTAGTGGTATATATGCCTATGACTTTTGTCTAGCGTACCACTTTTTCTTTTTTAATAAAGATCATTTTAACATAATTTTATTAAAATCCAATATGTATTTTGTGGCACAGAAAATTTATACAGAATAAAATGTTTCTGGGTCCTGTGGAAATTTCAAAATATAGCTCTATGATTATATTGCTATCAGTTAACTATTAGTGACAACATTCTCCCATATAGTGCTAAAACATGATTTGTTTTATCAGATTTGGTTTGTATCACATAAAACTAACCATTTATCATTAGTGTGATTTGTGAGGCCAGCCAATTGTGATTTGGTCAATGAACTATAGTTAAGTTAGGGTTTAATAGGATATGCAGAATGTTGTGAGCAAACCAAAGTTTAATTATTGTAATAGAATCTTGGTTTCATGCACTCAGTTCCCTCCTTGCCTTACTGGTTTGCACAAATTATAATTTGTTAATAGCTTTGAGCTGGGAAGATGATGAATGAATTTTAGCTATTGCTTGCTCAATGAAAAATGGAGGGAATTGGAGCATGTAAAGAAAGGAGCGCTTAGCACTAGTTCATTCAAAGTCTGTATAAATCTGTTCCCTGTTAGTATATTATACTATATTGAACACAGGGAAACGATCAACTGTATTGGAAATGCCTTCATTTTAATTACTGTTAAGAAAAATCTTGAATTTAAAAGTAGCTAGATTTTTCAGGTATTTTAAGAAATGGGTCTGGAAAGTTCAATACATCATCCTTTCTTTTTTTTTTCTTTATTCCTTACCAGACTAGCAGTGTTTGTTGTTGTTGTTGCTCTTGTTGAGTGGTTTGCTTGGATTTTTTTGTAGAAATAGTGTAAGTTAAAAGCTTATCCTTATGATTTGTAAGAGCCAATTTATACTTGACCGCAAAAGCTTTAAAATTACTTCTTTGATAATAGTTTGATGCCATATTGGTAACAAATGAAATGGAAGATTTTTTTTTCAAACAAAACTTACTCCATGATACTACTATTTGGGCATCAGATAGAAGCTACTCATTGTACAACATCAGTAAAGTAATAAGACTAATTAAGAAAGTTCCATAATGATGTTTTATCCTTCTGCAATGTCTCTGGCTATATAGTCTAAAAAGAATCTTATATATTAGGTAGATTGCTGTATGTGTAGTTCCTGATACTCTGTATTTAAATAAAATTACTATCTTTTACTGTAAGTATCAATAATGTACATGTGCCCATGAAGGTTATTCTTTCTCTATGAGCTGCGTTCAAATTAAAAGGGGACATTTATATAATTTATTTAAAGTAATATCCACAGGCTTTCATGATGTGGGCATTTGGCTTAAAAACGCTAAAAATTATAACAGTTTTCTTTTCAATTTGCTCTAATAGCTATTTCATAGAGCTAAGTTTGTATAACATTGAAAAAGGCCACAGGTTCTATGCAAATTATTGTACCTCAGACAAGACTCAATAATCAATATTGAATTACTATCTATCATTGATTTGGCCTTAAAACCCAATAAATTTGTTATTAAATACCAGTATATCTTTTAACCACCACCCCCGAAGCCTCATTTTACTATCTAATCATTATGATGGGGGCTCCTGGGAGAGAATGAGAAAAGCATGCCAAACATCTATGCCAACAGTGTATGTTCCCAGTAGAGTAACACCATCCTACCTGCCCAACTAAAGCAAGCAGGTAGTCTTTGACTTACAACAATTCACTTAGTGACAGTTCCAAGTAACAAAGGAGGCACTGAAAAAAAGTGGCTTATGTCTGTTTTTCACACTTACAACCATTGCAGCATCCCCATGGTTACATGATCAAAATTCAGACACTTGACAACTGAGTCATATTTATGACGGTTGCAGTGTCCCAGGGTCATGTGATCACCTTTCGCCACCTTCTGACAAAGTCAATGGGGAAGCCAGGTTCACTTAGCAACCATGTTACTAACTTAACAACTGCAGTGATACATTTAACAACTATGGCAAGAAAGGTCTAAAATGGGGCACAATTCACAATTGTCTCACTTAGCAACAGAAATTTTAGGCTCAATTGTGATCATAAATAGAGGACTACCTGTATCATCCAGCAGAGATCAATGAAAGTGCTGGAGGTGGATGATCATTTAGTGATAATGACAATGGGAGTATATCATAATGTATAGGAGAAGGCAATGTAAACCCACTTCTATATTCTCCATAAAAACAATATGGATAGGCATGATAGACTGATTGTCAATATAGTATTGGATGATGGGCTCCTCAGATCAAATGACGTACAACATAGCATTGAGAAAAGCTGACAAGTTTTGGAGTATGACTATAATGTATTTATGAAACAGCCATATTAAAGCCTTCCAGACTTCTCTAAAAAGGTTAGAAACTGCAAAAACAGGATTATAGAAGAAATATTGAATCTAAGAGACAGGAACACGAGAAAGTTCAACACAGTGAAAGATTAAGTGAACCAATCACAAATAGAGATTTTGGATATCAGCAAATGAAAATGGAGCAGAAATGTACACTCTCAGTTAAAAGTAGAAAATATTTATTGCTCAGAACATGAAAACCTAAGAATTATCTTGCTTTCGTAGTTGTAAAGAATATTGAAGAATCAGTATTTGGATACAGTGTCGTCTTTGATCAAGTAATATCAATTAGATTTTTGTGGAGAATTAGAATTCATAAGGAATATAAGGAAAATATTAAAGCTGTAGATGGTTTCTGCCTTTTAAGATTAACCATCAATAGTAGAGGAACTAGCAATCAAGAAATTTGCCATAGCCAGCACTTGGTAGAGCAGCCATGAAGGCATTGTAAACAATATTCAGATGCCATAATGAGTCCATGCCTACAAAGACTGGAATAGTGAAAGCAATTATATTCCTTCTGACACTACGGAAGTGAAAATTTCGACCTTGAAGAAACAGAATAGGCTTTGGAGCTTTGGTGTTGGAGAAGACTCCGGAGAATATCATGGAAAGCCAAGGGGAAAAATCCTAAACAAAGCAATTCAAAGTTCTCGCCCAAGGCACAAATAATCAAGTTCAAATGATCTTACTTCAGATGCATTATACAAAGACCTGGCGAGAGACGGGTTTCAGCAGGTTCTGACCAGTTGTGGAGAACTGGTAGCGGAAATTTTGAGTAGTTTGGAGAACCGGTAGTAAAAATTCTGACTGGCCCCACCCCCATCTATTCTCTGCCTCCCGAGTCCCAGCTGATCGGGAGGAAATGGGCATTTTGCAGTAATCTTCCCCTGGATAGGGGAGGGAATGGAGATTTTACAGTATCCTTCCCATGCCATGCCCACCAAGTCATACCCGCCAAGGTATGCCACGCCCACCAAGCCACGCCCACAGAACTGGTAGTAAAAAAATTTGAAACCCACCACTGGACCTGGCTTTCTAGAGTAGTCTTATCATGCTGAAAAAAAGTACATGTAGAAGGAAAGAGAACAAAACAAGTAGCAGCAAGGTGAGAAAATTCAATTGCAACAGCAGTGAACTGAAAGTCCATTTTGAAGACAGATCATCCTGGAGCAAGTCTATTTATATAATCACTAAAAGCTGACATTCATTTTATGGTACCTAATCAATCAATTTCTTTTAAATTGCTTTGTGGATGTTAAAGCTTTTTGTGACTAAGAATTTCTGCTTCTGTTTGTTACATGGCTTCATGTGTAACATAGATATTTGCACATCCTCATATCAGCAGAAAATACTATAATGAAAAATATAAAATACAGGAGGATGAATTATTTTATCATTGATATGTGTTTCATTACCTCAGTTGCCTCTTGAAAGAAAGTTCAGTTGCCTCTTGAAAAAGCATCTTTTGTATAACTTTAGTACTTAGTACAGTAAGTGACCAAAATTTGGTATATGCTGGCACTCCCCCCAAAATACTGAGGATGCTTTGTTGTGTTTATAAGTGAATATTGGTAATTGTGTGTTGTGACAGACTCCTTCAGCTTCAGTGGTATGAAGGGGTGTTACAGCATGCAAAAGCATTTATATTTAGCACCTGCCTAGATCTTCTTTCCTTGGATTCATATGGTTGCTCACAACAGCATATTTCTGGTAAAGGACTTGTTTGTTTAAGGAGCTAAAGGCTGGCTCTATGTGACCAGCTATACACTGTACATCTCAAAGCAACTTTTTATATTAGAATCTCAGGTGGTATACAGCCCTGTTGCACACGAATGTCATTGTGTATCCAATTTTCATATATGCCTTATTTAAAAAGTTTTCAAACATCAGTTCAAGGTCCTACTTGAACTACATTAGACTTATATGGTAGTAGAATGTTAGAAATAATAATGGGAATTATTTCAATTTTATGTTTCATTCTAGATATAGTATATAAGTCATTTTGTGGGTGTTTTACTGTTATATATATATATATATGTTTTCTTTCCTTTTCGTAGGCTTTATGTGTATTTCTCTTTAGCCAGGTTCTTCCTACGTAAACCAAGATTTTTTTTTTGCAGCCCTAGTTCAGTGAACTAGGCAGCAGTTTTTGCTGGCTGACAGGAAAAAAAAGCCTAGAAACTAGTGAATTATGATTTCACTGAACTAGGGCTGCATAAAAATCTTCGTTTACGTAGGAAGAACCTGGCTAAAGAGAAATACATATATGTGTGTGTGTGTGTGTGTGTGTGTGTGTGTATTAGAATTGTAAGCTGTTCAGAGTTACTTGGTTGAGTTTTCCTTGGCTATAGAAATTGAATAAACAAATGAACAAAGTCATGTGCAATATGTTTGGTTTTTTGCTTTGTGTATTGTATGAACTCAGTTTTTGTTTTTGGTTTATATTCATGGTTTATAGCTTAGTTTGTTAGTGTAACATGTATTCAGATACATTAGCATACAACAGTTTAATTTCTGCATGCCATTATAATTTTTACTTCTCAAATTTTATTTTTTTTTACTGAGGGACACAGTAATGTAGAGGACATACGAAACCAGGAGAACTACAAAATGCTAATGGAGTAACTTTAAATTACAAGGAATAGGAACTGGAAAATAATTGATTTCCAGCTTACTTGCTACTAAATCATTTTCTTTTGAAGAATAATAGAGAGCTAATCCATGTCTAGTTTAAATATAAGTGAAGAATAATATCCAGGAGGTTGCAGTACAAGGAGAAAAGGGGTCTCAAGACCAGGACATTGATCTTCATCTCAATGTTTTAGGTAACAGTAATAGAGTTGGAAGGGACCTTGGAGGTCATCTAGTCCCTTACGCAGGAAACCTGTACTAGGGATTCGAACTGACCTTTCTGATCAACAAGTTCAGTGTCTTAGCCACTGAGCCACCTAGTCAGGCATCAAGCTCTTGTGTTATTTTAGATTGGTCAATTATTTAGTTCACGTATCTTCTAAGCCAAAGTTTTTTTCACCATGGCTCTTTAAATAAAATACAACTGGTCATGTTTGGATTAGCCATTAGCCATAATTTATCATGGCTGGATTAATACCCAGTATTAAGCCACCATGGTGTGTGTGCGTATTGCAGAATATTCAGCCAAAACAACTTTATTATGGTTAGCCTGGCTTGTAAATTCAGCCTGAGTTGTGAAGCTAGGCGTTTGCCTTAATGGAATTTCATGTTGCTTACTACTGAGTAAAATATGAATAGGATTACATTGCCTATAACTGCATCACAATTTAACTTGGAGATAATTTACCCACGCCCATTACTACCCTAACTCTCTGAATTCTGTGATATTTTAGAGGCATATATTGGCTTAATTACAATTCTCATTTTAAAAACAACAATCCTAATTACATTTTGCAAAAAAACAAGTTTCAGTAGATTCAGTAGAACTTTTTTTAATCAAAGAGTTGATAAATCACGTACCACTTTTATAGCAATCCATATTCCGAGATGCACCTATCTAACTTTAGAATAGAATAGAGCTGGAACTGACCTTGGGAGTCTTCTAGTCCAGCCCTCTGCTCAAGCAGGAGAACCTATACCATTTCAGATATAGTGGCTCTCTAGTTTCTTCTTAAAAACCTCCAATGATGGAGCACGATTTCTGAAGGCAAGCTGTTCCATTGGTTAATTATCCTGTTAGGAAGTTTCTCCTTAATTTCAGATTGTTTCTCTCTTTGGTTAGTTTCCAACCATTGTTTCTTGTCCTGCCCTCTGGTGCTTTTTGGAGAATAATTTGATACCCCTTCTTTGTGGCAGCTCTTCGAATACTGGAATACTGCTATCATGTCGCCCTTAATTCTTCTTTTGGCACATTCCTTTACTGTTTCGTTTTTTTTTAAAGGAAACACCTTGGTCGGTAGGGACAATGGCATCTTTCAAATGAAGCTCAAGATACATTTTGATGGAACCAGGCGTTTCTTTCAGCGAATCTTTAACATTCCCCTATTTTCATTCACAAATCAATTTAATAGGCTCCCCCCCCCCGCCCCAGTTCATGTCTGTCTATTTAGCGGGGAAGTGGGGGGGGGGGCAGAGATGGGCGGAGTATCTGGCTGTACCACACTCAAGATGACCGGAACCTACAGAAACCGACTCGTCGATAGCCGTATTTGGGAGGTCTGTGACTTCTCTGAGGACATATCGCGAGATTTCCAACCGCAGCTCCCGCCCTACCGCGCGCCGCTGGTAGTCTGAAGCACCCGCCCCGGCGCTTATGAGTCGGTTACTGAGCGGTAATGGCGCCGGGCTCTTAAAACGGCTTGGGGGTGGAGGGGGAGGGCTCCACTTCACCGCAGCTCTCAATCCCGAAGGTTTGAGGGGATGAGCCGACCACCTCAGTCGCCGCCAGGAAGGAGGAGGAAGGAACGGAAGCGGCGATAGAATAGGTGAGGCGGCTCTCCAATTGTGGAGATCCCTCCAGCTAAAACCCAATTGGGGGCTTATGGGGAAAGCGAGAGAAACTTGACAGGATTTCCGGCTTTCGGTTCCAGGGATTCAGAAGGGGGTGAAGCGCTGGGAGGGTGTTTTCTACTAGCCTTGTTTCGGAGTTTGTTACCTCTTGTTCGTTCTTTCGCCGCCCCCTTTTCCGCGCTCCGTTCCTCTGCAGTTCGGCCTGGATTGTCACAGCTTCTTCCTGAATTTAAAGGGAGGAAGCTCGGTTATGATTTAGATCCCCGAATTAGAGAAGTGCTCCCCCCCCCCCGCCTTTCTACCTCTTGTTTCAGGTCATTTATACTGCAGGGATGCAGAAGGAGCTAAATTTATTCGACTGTCAAAAGAATTCCGAGCTTTACATTGTATGAGATATAGAGCGATGGAGGGGGGGGGGTGAGTTATTCAGAAGGGAGTGGTTCTGATAATTTTATTATTTACAGCACTAGCTTGAAATACAGATAACTGAATATACTTATTTTCATGCGTTCCCATCAGTACTAGTGTCACAAACTCATGTGCAAAATAACATAAGTGGCCAGGTAAGGTTTTCTCGCTAAGGAGTTTACTTTTCAGCCCCATTGCATTTTAGTCTGTTTTAGCAAAAGAGACATATTACAGGCTCCAGGTCAATACAGGTAGTCCTCGACTTATGACCACAATTGAGCCCAAAATTTCTGTTGCTAAGTGAGACAGTTGAGTTTTGCCTCATTTTATGACCTGCCTTTGCCAAAAGTTGCTAAGTGAACCACTTCAGTTGTTAAGTTAGTAATGTGGTTTTTAAGTGAATCTGCCTTCCCAATTGACTTTGCTCGGGACTTTGCTTTCTATGAGCTTACTCATAGAAAGAAGGTAGGCTGTTTCCCCATGCCCCATAGGACGGGAAGCCCTGTTGGGAGGTAGCAGGTGATATCTGTTTTTGCATGCCGTGTTTGAACATGGGGAGTAGTTGTAATTGTCTTGCTTAATAGCTGTTTGTAGACCTATTTTCCATGTTTGTCTAATTCATACCATTGGAGCAGTGAATTTGGTACAATTTTCATGTGATACAAAGAGTTATCTGTTTGTATGTGTTCAATTGGCTAATGTATTTCATTGGATGATTGCGTCAAAAGCCATTTGGAAATCAATATTATCTGTTGTATCAGACTGCCAGCATATCTTTATTTCTCTCAGAAAATTCTAAATGGTTGGGGAGAAAGTACCCCATATAGAATTGATGTTACAGAATATAATGAGGAATGTTACCCAGATCCATAGTGTTAATTTGCAGAAAGCTGTAAACTATCCAAATATAAGAATCATTAATAAAATGTATTTCCAAACGTGTGGCTATGGCTCTGGATTTGCTGAAAATTAAAAGGTGTTTTGTAGAGAGGATTTCGTGATACAAATCCAAGCAAGAATCAGTCTCGTCTCTAATTTGCAAAATCAACAAGTAGATGGCATTGTAGGATTGTCATAAGGCACTATCAGTCATCATTTCCTCATTCTCCTGTAGTATCAATACAGTGTTCCACATTAATATTGAATATTTTTTAAAGTTTTAGAAGGAACAATTAAGGTTTTCATTTTTAAAAAAAATTATGAATTCCTGGTTTTATGACTGGTTTCTCTTTAATGACTGATGTTTTTGTCTAAAGTTAAAATCAAGTTTTTGTAGATAGTCCACTCTGAGGAAAGAAAATAAGTTCAGCAGAAACTATTAACAGATTCTACATTTACAAAATGAATCATGGCTGTTTTTTAAAAATTCTTGTCTATCACTACTTTTATTTCATATTAGTTTTGACTGCAATACGCTGTATTGCTTTTGATGATGGGAGCTAGTTGTATTGTTCAAATATCACCTTAACATTTTGAGTTAAATTTCTGCTGTTAAATTAACCTGGGATTTCTTTGAAAGTGAAAAATGGGAACTTGGTCAGTGCCAAGGAAATATTGCATCATTCACTAGACTTAGAATTACTTTATTGTCACTTTGAAGGTGCACTAATCGGCATACATTAAAATGAAATTTTGTTGCATATGGCTCTCAAAGGGTCACTAATCTTCATTATCTAATTTTTCTCCCTGTTTAGCAGTTGGGGGACATAGTAGGAATAATCTCTGGACAGTGACCTGGATTCCAGAGCTGGGGAAAATCTGTAATTTTTTATATAGCATTTTTTAAAATCATGGATCTATATAGTACAGTAGTTTACCTTAGGTCTGAAATATCACTTGATATTCATACAAAACATTTTGGACACCTGGAAATTGCATGTGTAATTTGGTACCACTATGGCCATATGTGTGGCAAACCAGTGGTTGCATGCAAGGTGCCCGGGAGAGCATATGGTATTCCCCACTTAGCCATATTTTGGTTATGCATGATATGAACACAGCCATAGATTTATTGACTATTCCTTTGATGTGATATATGCTATCAACTACCAGTAGTAGTGCTGCTCTGGATTCTATGAAAGAAAAATAAAACAAACTTTGGGGGAAAATAATTAGTTTGACATCATCACTCAAGTTTTATATCAGGACTCAAAACAGAGACAAAGTAAAATCAATGCATTTCAATACCCCAATATAACCCTATGGCAGATCTGAAACTGACTTGTTTCAGAAAAATAGAACTTTAAAAGCACTATTAAGCAAGAAATACATCAAATACATAAATCATACTTGATAGACTCTTTCCAGATCTGTGATGAGCAATCTAACTGAACTTGCTGGAAAGATTATAGTTACTTGCATTGATTATCCCTGGCAGCTTTCTTTTTTCACTGTCTTGGTTTTTTTTTATAAGCATTCCTTCTTTCATAAGCCAAAGCTAGATTTTCTGGACAATCTACTGGTATACATTATTTCCTAAAGTATTTCTATCTGTTATTTTTATTTAGCATTGCTTCTCTACTATGCATTCTGAGTACACACACTTCATATATTTCTAAATTGATGTGAGCAATAGTACAGTGCTTGCAAACTCAAAAACATAGCTTAATAGCTGTATGATGTTAATTAAAATGGGGTAAAACTGGACTTTGCTTGCAAGTAAGTCCAAAATGTGTCAAAACTGACCGGTACTCTAGCAAGTGATATTGCATATTGAAAATATACTGTGTGCGCAATTACTAGGCAAGTGAGTATTTTGACCATATTATCATTTTATGCATATTTTCCACCTCCAAGCTATATAAACTTGAATGCTTAATGGATATAAACATATCAGGTGATGTGTATTTGTGTAATGAGTGATGGTGTGGCCTAAGGAGATCAATAACCTATATCAAGGTGTGCATAATCATTGGACAGCTTCTTTTCCTCAGGCAAAATGAGCCAAAAAAAGAGATTTAACTGAGTCTGAAAAGTCAAAAATTGTAAAAAGTCTTTCAGAGGGATGTAGCACTCTTGAAATTGCTAAGATATTGGGACGTGATCACAGAACCATTAAACGTTTTGTTGCAAATAGTCAACAGGGTCACAAGAAACGTGTTAAGAAAAAAAGACGCAAATGAACTGCCAAAGATTTGAGAAGAATCAAATGTGAAGCTACCAGGAATCCATTATTCTCCAGCGCTGTCATGTTCCAGAACTGCAATCTACCTGGAGTGCTCAGAAGTACAAGGTGTTCAGTGCTCAGAGACATGGCCAAGGTAAGGAAGGCTGAAACCCGACCATCACTGAACAAGACACATAAGTTGAAACTGCAAGTCTGGGCCACAAAATATCTGAAGGCAGATTTTTCAAAGATTTTATGGACTGATGAGATGAGAGTGACTCTTGACGGACCAGATGGATGGGCCTGTGGCTGCATCAGTTAATGGGTACCAGGCTTCATTTCGACTCAGATGCCAGCAAGGTGGAGGCTGGGTACTGGTATGGGCTGGTATTTAAAGATGAGCTAATTGGACTTTTTGAGTTGAAGGTGGAATCAACTCCCAAACCCACTGCCAGTTTTTAGAAGACACTTTCTTCAAGCAATGATACAGGAAGAAGTCTGCATCTTTCAAGAAGACCATGATTTTTATGCAGGACAATGCTCTATCGCATGCATTGAAATACTCCACTGTGTGGCTAGCCAGTAACGGCCTTAAAGATTAAAGAATTATGACATGGCCCCTCCCTCACCTGACCTAAACCCTATTGAGAAATTGTGGGCTCTTCTTAAATGGGAGATTTACGGTGAAGGAAATAAGTACACCTCTCTGGACAACGTTTGGGAGGCTGTGGTTGCTGCTGCACAAAAAGTTGATCGTCAACAGATCAAGAAACTGACAGACTCCATGAATGGAAGCCTTATGACTGTTATTGAAGAGCAGCTATATTGGTCACTGGTTTTTTGTGGGGTTTTTTTCTTAAATGTCAGAAATGTTTATTTCTAAATGTTGAGTTGTTTATTATTCTCACCTTAACAGATGAAAATAAATGAGTGAGATTGGAACATTTTCATTTTTCATTTAGTTGCATAATAATTCTGCACCACTAATAGTTGCCCAATAATTGTGCACACATAGATATTCCCCTAAGAAAACCAAAACCTCACTTTTACTTTCTTAAATATTCAGGTTTGATGTTTATTAACATTTTGGATTGACTGAGAGCACTGTAGTTGTTCAATAATAAAATTAAACCTCAAAAATACAAGTTGCCCAATAATTGTGTATGTGAAATAGATATGCTTTTGACAGCCTGTACCCACAGACCAATGAAAATGAAATTAAACATTGTAAAGCACTCACTTCTCAAATCTGTATCATGAGTTTATAACTTACAACAGTTCATTTAGTGACTGTTCAAAGTTACAATGTCTCTGAAAAAAGTGACCTATGACCATTTTTCACACTTACGACCATTGCAACATCCCCATGGTGACATCAAAATTCAGATTCTTGGCACCTGACTCATATTTTTAACAGTTGAAATGTGCCAGGATCATGTGATCCCCTTTTGCGACTGTCTG